TGCTTAGTGACATTCGTGTCTTATTTAAGAAATCTTTGTGAACCCTTTGTTAGTTACATAGATGCTCTTCTGTGTTTCTTTCTAAAATCTTTATAATTTTAGCTTTACATACAGTGTTACTTGGAAATGTTTAAAGTTGGGAGAAAAGCATTCTAAGGTTTTTGTTATTGTTGCAATACATCACATACTATCAAATTCACTCTTTAAAAGTATGTACAATTCAATGGATTTTTCCTTTAGTATAGTCACAAAAGTTGTGTAGCCTTCACCACTTTCTAATTCCAGAACACTTCATCACCTCATAAAGAAAAGAGACCCTATACACATTGCAGTCATCCCCCTTCCCATTCCTGCCCTCCTTCCATCTTAGACAACCACTAAGTTACCTTTTGTTACAATGGGCAGGTTGTCTAAATGGAACCACAAAATATGTAGCCTCTTCTGTGTGGCTTCTTTCACTTAAGGCAGCGGTTCACTTAAGGATGTTTTTAAGGTTCATCTGTGTTGTAGTATGTATTCTTTAAATAGGCAAATAATACTCCATTCTGTGGTTATACCATGTTTTGTTTATTCATTCATTAGTTGGCCAAAATGCTTTTTTAAGTCTTTTAAGAAAGTTTGTTTTATTTTCTCAAATGGCAGGATATTACAGTTCATTCCATGTACTCATAAAATACTTATTTAGTGCCCATAGTGTTACCTTTGCTTGGGGGGACATAGTTTTACCTGATGTGTTTGGGACTAGGGATTCAGAGATGAGCAAACTTTGCCCTCTGGTAGCTTTCTTTCTAAAGGAATAAGACAAACATGTAAACAGATAAATTACAGTACAATGTGGAAAATACGATTAGCTTTATAACCCAAAGTATGTGTAATCTCAGAAGTCAGCAACTAACTATACTGAAGGAATTAGTGGAGGCTTCCAAGGAGGTGACATTTGAGCTAGATCTTTGGAATGAAAAGGAGTTTGCCACGGTGATTGAGGATATTTCAGATAGAAGTTTATTCCAAGGCATGAAAATGGGAGTGGTCTGGTGTATCCTGGCACCTTTGAGATGATCATCAACAGTGTGAGATATGGGTAACGTGAAGTAATTCTGGAAAGGCAGTGACTCAGGGCCAGATTTCAAACATCTTTACATTTAAGCAAAGGAATTTGTATTTTATACTTTTGTGTTTTGGGGTTTGGATGAATGAAATGGGGGTCTGCTTATTCAAGATCTGTTGGAAGACCTCACATACAGGAAAATCCAACTTTTCATTTCTCCAGAAGTTTGTCCATATAGGCACTTAAAAAATATACTGCTCCCACTTCCACGCTACCCTCCAACTGCCACCTCTATCATAGTCTGTTGATTTCCTGTTTTGATTTATTTTATCTGCCACTTACCTGAAATTATGTTTGTTTATTTTTTTACTTAGGTACTGCTGTCTCTTTGCTTCCAGAGCAGGTTTTTTCTCATCTTATCCTAACCAGTATTTGGCACGTGGTAGGCACGTATCTATATTAAATGAATGAACTATTCTGCTTCATATATAGCTTAAACTCTAGTATTCTACCCTGTGATTATAGTCTCCTATTCCTTCTCTCCCCCCCCCCACACTGTTTTCTTCATGTTATTTCAGTACTTTGACCGCACTGCCTCCATTCTCTTCAACTTGGCTAGCCTCCAACCTTCACAAGCTTCCCTAACTAGCTTAGATTCCACTCTCCATCATTCCAGCTATATTCTTGTCAGTCTTCTCTTTATCCCCCTATTCCTCCACTTCCCTTTTGTTCCATCTACCTATCCAAATCCTTACCTGGGCTCAGTCTGATCAAATTCAAGCACATGAGTGTTTGCTGGAGAAAATGACCTGTCTGTGACTGTACATTACCATGGTTTTCAATTTCTAGCATTTCCCAGAAATCTTAGGTTCCCAGTTAACATTACAAACACTGTTTACTCTTTTGTTATTCTCACATTTTACCTTTTCTTTATTTTTTTTTTGAAGATTTCATTCATTCTTAGAGGAGAATGGAGGGAGAGGAGCATTGACATGTAAGAGAAACATTGGTTGCCTCTCACACGTGCCTCACCTGGGGACTGGCCCACAACCCAGGCATGTTCTCTGACTGGGAATTGAACCTGCAGGCTTTCACTTTGAGAGCTGGTGCCAATCAGCTGAGCCATACAGTCATAGCAACCTTATCTTTTTTCCTTTCTGCTTTACAAAGGAAATAGGTTTTTGGACACGAATTCACTCACATTTATCTTCCTATCTACAAATCTTTATGTAATCATGTCCATCTTCACCTCCTTTTCCCCTATTCTGGTGTAGGGGTTATCCTTTTTTCTGTTGGAGTCTAAACCATTCACCTGTGGTCTGTGTCTGGTCCTCCTCCACTCCCTCAGAAGCCTTGCTTTATCAGTCACCATCTCCCTTCCACTTCACATTCTGTCATCAGTATGTAAACATGTTTCGATATGTCCTTTTAAATAACAAAATAGCTGTCATTTGGGCCTGGTTAGTACTTGGATGGGAGACAAAACAGCTGTCATTCTATTTCATGATTCCTTTTCTTTCTCACTTTCTTTGATAGTTGTTTAAAACTCTGTGTTGATGTTCCCATTCACTCTCTGTTCTCTGCGTTCTGACCCCTGTACTCTTTACTCCTCAGTACTGTCCTTGCCACGGTCACCAATGACTTCTTTCTAAAGTTTTGGTGCATGACTTTTAATGACTACCATGACATTTCTTCCTCTAAAATGCTCTATCTTGTTTTCCATGAAACCACTTTCCTGATTTTCATTTTTTGTTGGTCAGTTCTTTTAGTTTCTTTTGCATAAGTCAAACCACAGTTTCATAAAAAAGCAGTTTAATGGGATGCAAATTGGTATGGTATGAGGATAAATCTCTGTGGTTTAGCTAGAATGTGTGGGAGGGTCTTTCATCAATTTCTAACATATGGACATTTTCTAAGGATTAGATAGGAGAAAATTAAAATTGTATTTATTGCCAAGAGTTTTGGATGAAGATTTTGTTTGTTTGTTTTTGTAATCCTCACCTGAGGATATGCTTTTTATTGATTTAGAGAGGAAAAGGGGCTGGGGGAGAGGAAGGAAGGAAGAAAATAAGGAAGATAGATAGGAAGATGATCAGTTGCCTTCTGTATGCTTTCCAATTATGGACTGAACCAGCAACCTAGGTACATACCCTGACTGGGAATTGAACCTGCTGCCTTTTGGTATATGGGCAGTACTCCAACCAGCCAAGCCACCCACTGGGTCAGGGCTGGGATGAAGATGTTTTATGTTGTCAAGTACAAGATGTTTAACCTGCATCAGTAGGGTCAAGGTTCAGGTTTTCTTTTCTTTTTCTTAATAGTTTTATTTTTATTCCAGTCAAGGCTTTCCAACTGTGATGTATTGAATCTGCATTTCACATTTCTTTTTTCAAAGATTTTATTTGTTTATTTTTTTAGAGAGATGGAAAGGGAAGGAGAAAGAGAGGGAGAAAAGCATCACTGTGTGGTCGCCTCTCACATGCCCCCTACTGGGGACCTGGCTGGCAACTCAGGCATGTGCGCTGACTGGGAATTGAACTGGTGACCCTTTGCTTCACAGGTTGCTGCTCAATCCACTGAGCTATACTAGCCAGAGCAGGTTCAGGTTTTCTTTAGGAAATGAAGAAACCAAACCAAGAGCTGTGACTGATGGATTCTGCGGAATTGACCATTCAGCTTAATGTAACTAATGACACACAGCTCCTGGAATGGCAGTTCTCCTGTTTCTTAGCAACTGTCCCATCAGTTGTGCATTCAGTTCACCAGACTAGTATTCATAGCTTACTATTTTCTCTCTTTCCCTCTCCTCTCTATTTCTCTCCCTATATTAATCTTTTTAATTGTGAAATAAACGCATTATAATAGTACATAAAACAAATGCAGTGGCTTTTTAAATTATTTACATAAAGTGAGTATCTATTAAGCACTATCTTATCAAAATATAGCACATAGTGTCCCAGTCCACCTGGTAGGTCCCTTCCTGGTTACACTTCCAATCCCCGCCTCCCCCTGCACCTTACTCCAGAAGGTAACCACTCTCCAAACTTTGAAGCCATCACTCCGTTTTCCTTATAGGTTTAAAAAGTATGCAACCCTAGATAAAACTTTACCTGATTTAAATGGAAAAATACAGTAGCTCTGTGTGTGTACGTGTCAGTGTTTGGTTTTGCTTATAGCTGGTGCTTATTGTGTTGTGTAGTATTACCTAGTCTGAATATACCATAATATATTTACTCATTCTTTTATTGATGAACATTTAAATTGTTTGAATTTTCAACTGTTATGAAAAGTGCTGCTGTGAATATTCTTGTATAATGTTAAACTTTTCTGGAGTGGAATTTCTGGGGTCAACTGCAATTTTACTAGATTTTGTCTGTGTGGTATATAATTTAAAAGACTGTCTTTAAAGAGATTGTGTTGATGTTTACTTACACCAGCTCTATATGAGAATTTACACATTTGTGATTCATTCATCATTTTTTAACTTGTTATTGTTTTATAGTTACTTAACTGCTGTTAAACTGAAAACTATTACTATTTTTGCATTTCCATATTAAAGAAACAGTAACAAAACTATTTAAAAATAAAGGCTTACTTTTATGCCATGAGGGTCCATGCGATGAAATTCATATGTATTTTTGTGATATTAAATGTACTTAATATTTATGTACTTAATACTTAAATATTTATGTGAGCTGTTTTTAGATTAATATGGGATGAGGAGTATATTTTATACACACTGAGTGATACTTGCCACAACTTCTATTAGTTTTTAATCTAAAGTGTCATAGCTGTATAAGTTTTCATCCCTAAATTGTTGTCTTTTATAAAAAGATCTATTATATATTCTTTAGCAGTAATATAATTTTGGGTTTTGTTACATAGGCATTATTTCTAGACCTTGATGTGAAATATTTATTGAAAAACTCTGATGGATTTTTTTTTTTTAAAGTTGGCCTTTGCCAGAGTTTGATCCAAGCCAGATTCGACTGATTGTATATCAAGACTGTGAAAGACGAGGGAGAAATGTCTTGTTTGACTCCAGTGTTAAGAGAAAAAATGAGGACATATCAGTATCGGTGAGTATCATTATTGACTTGGTTGAAATTTAATGTCAAATGTTTTAACTCAAAAGTGAGTAAAATTTTAATTGGGGTGTTTTGTTTGTTAGTGTAAAACATCTTTGCCGTGCTTTTATAATTCAGAGTCCTGATTTTTTTAAAGGAAAACAACACTTGCCTTATTTGTCATCAGTCTAATCCCACAGAACATTTTAGTTTGACATTTATTTCCTTATGTAGTTGTATTGAGAAATATAACTAGAACTACAAGGATTCTTATAGAGGATCCAGTACAAACCTGTCACTGTAACAGATGTGGGAAGTGTGATCTGGAGACGTGAAATTACTTAATCTAAATTATTTGTCTAAAGGTAGAAAGCAAGTTAAATTTGTAGCCCTTGGCCTATCATATTTTCCCTACTCTACAGTGGTAGCAAGAGCATCTGTTCTGTTCACTTTCAGCGTATTTTGAAATAATATAGTTATTACTACGGCTAGTTAGCAGTAGTGCATGGATATTCAATTGGTAGGTGATTGTGGTTATCTTTGCTGCTGTTATTGCCATTATACTTTCTGGTATAAAGAATCAGTCCTTCCTTGGCTGGTGTGGCTCAGTGGATCAAGTGCCAGCCTGTAAACTGAAAGGTTGCTGGTTTGATTCCTGGTCAAGGCACATACCTGGGTTCAGGCCAGGTCCCCGGTTGCGGGGGCGTGAGAGAGGCAACCAATCCATGTATCTCTCACACACTGATATTTCTCTCTCTTTTTCTCCCTTCCTTTGCTTCTGTCTAAAAGAAAGTAACTTAAAAAAAAAAAAAGGCAGTCCTGTAATCTGGAAATACAATCCTGGAATTGTGTTTTCCTGCCTTTCCTAAACTGACAATTTTCAGCAAAACTTTAGTAAACAACTAAAAGCAAAATACTTTAGGGAAGTCTTTACTACAAGTAGAATTGTCAGTTAAAGCAAAAAAGTATTTATTTTTTGAGACTTGGGAGTTTGTAATTGAGATTTTATGTTTTAGAAAAAAGTTGATATATTCACTGTAGTCTGTTATTTTATCTCCAGCTACATCCACAGCATCTACTGCAGTGGCACACAATAGGCACATTTTTTAATTACTTTGATTGCCAGGTTGTACTATGTTCTTGTAATTACTAACATATTTTCCAATTTTCTAGAGATTGTGGGGTTTTTTTTTTCAGATTTTTGCCATTATCTAGATACTTTTTTCAATCTGATAAAAAATAAGCATTGCAAAATGTTCTTAAAGTATTATTTATTTGTTCAAATAACTGTCTTCCGAGTACTGGGCACTGGAGATTTAGCAGTCTATGTCTTCTTGGTGTCTGCAATTAGCCACCTTTTAGAGAAGGTAGACATTGAACAAAGAAATACACAGATTAATAATTCCACATTGTGATTAAGTATTGGGATGGCCAAAATTCGTTTAGGTTTTTCCATAAAAGACACACTTTTCATTTTCACCAGTAACTTTGTTGATTTGAACATTTTGAGTATGTTGGTTTTGTCTCACGTGATATAACGTTGATTGTTCTCAATTAATGTCTCAATTTGATCACTATCAACTTCAACTGGTCCACCTAACCATGGAGCATCATCCAGAGAAAACTCTCCAGCACAAAACCTCACAAACTACTTTTGAGACATTCAATCAGTAATAATACCTTCTCCATAACACTGCACAAATCTTTTTTGTGTTTCAGTTGTGTTTTTACCTTTCATGAAATAATAAAGCATATTACATCGAAAATGTCGTGTGTCTTCTTCTGTCTTCAGTATTAAAATGGCTGTACAAAAGTTTACCAGTTTTGATAAGTTTTTTAAAAATGCGTGTTGATGTGGCATCTGCACAATACAGTCCAACAAAATTGTTTTGAATGAAATTTAAACAACTAAGTGCTACTAAGAGCCATCTATGAAAAAGAACAAATGAACTTTTTGGTCCACCCAATATGATGAACAAGACATATACAATGCTTATGAGATTCCAGAGAAGGGAACCCAGTTTTCATCATTTTGGGTGTAGGAGTATTAAGGAAAGTCTCACTGAGCAAGTGAAATTCAAGCTGAGATCTGAAGAAATTGAGGGCATGGAATAGAAGATGGGTATTTCTAGTAGTAGGACCAACAAATGTAGTCTGCAAAGTGACCTAGGAGCCTGCTGAATTGAAGGATCTAAAAGGTGGCAAGTCTAGCTAGAATGATAGTAATTAGTATGTATAGTAGCTAGGAGATGAAGATGGAGCAAGATGGAGCAGGAACCAGTGTATTTACGGCACAAAATTTATATTATATCCTAAAGGCAGAAGGCAGCTGTTAAAGGAATTTGGTTTACATTTAAAAAAAAAAGTCAGTTTGGTAGCCCAGAAATAAACTCACAGATGTGATCAATTAGTTTATGATGAAAGAAGTAAGAATATATACTGACAGTATCTTCAATAAATGATGTTGGGACAACTGGACAGCCACATGCAAAAGAATGAGACTGGACTACTATCAACATTATACAGAACACTAACTCAAAATGCACTAAAGACTTAAATGTAAGACCTGAAGCCTTAAAACTCCTAGAAGAAAATATAGGCAACAAACTCCTTGACATCAGTCTTGGCAATGATTTTTTGGATATGACACCAAAAGCAAAGGCAACAAAAGCAAAAATCACAAGTAGAACTACATCAAACTAAAAAGGTTCTGCACAGCAAAAAAGTGCACAAAATGAAAAGGCAAGTTCTATTGGATGGGAGAAAACATTTACAAATCATGTTAAGGGGTTAATATACAAAGAACTTATATAACTCAACAGCAAAAAACCTCCACAGAATCTAGTTTAAAAAGTTCTGCAGAGGCTCTAAATAGACATGTTTTCAAAGGAGACATACATATGGCCAACAGATCCATGAAAAGGTGGACTATAGCACTGATCATCAGGGAAATGCAAAGTAAAACCACAGCGAAATATCATCTCCTTTTCGAATGGTTATTATAAAAAAGACAGGTGTTTACAAGGGTGTGATGGAAAAGGGAATCCTTGTGTACTGTTGGTGGGAATGTGAATTGGTGTAGCCACTATGAAAAACAGTATGGAGGTTCCTCAAAAAGTTGAAAATATAACTACCAGATGAGCCATCAACTCCACTTTTGAATACTTATGCAGAGAAAATAAAAACACTAATTTGCAAAAATATATGAATGCTATGTTCATTGCAGCATTATTTGCAATAGCAAAGACATGGAAGTAACTGAGGTGTCCACGGATGGATGAATAGATAAAGACCACATGGTGTATATGTACAGTGGAATATTATTTAGTCATAAAATAGAATGAAATGTTGCTATTTGTAGCAACATGGATTGGCTTTGAGGGCATTATGATAACTGAAATAAATGGGAACAAGAAAGACACATATGTATAGTCTCACTTATATGTGGAATAAAAAAAACTGAACCCATAAATGCAGAGAAGAGAAGTGGTAGTTGGAAGTGGAAGTGGGAGGTGGACAAATGGGTGAAGTGGGTAAGAATATACAAACTTTCAATAGTGAAGTAAGTCATGGGTATATAATGAATTAATTTGATTATAGTTAATAATACTCTGTAGTACATTTGAAAGTTGTTAAAAGAGCATATCTTAAAAGTTCTCATCAGAAGAAAAAAATTAACCATGCAGAGTGATGGGTGTTAACTAGACTTATTGGGGAGATCATTTCCAAGTATATTAAAGTATTGGATCATTATGCTTTATACCTGAAACTAATATATGTCACCTTTTAAAAATAGTGAAAAAAATCACTTTGGCTGCTATGTGGAGAATGGTTAGATGTGGGGGACAAGGAACAAAGAAATGTGTGGTGAATCCAGCATTTTGGTTTGATTATCTGGGTGGTGAGATTCCAAAGAGTCATAGAATTGTATTGGGTTAGCCAAAAAGTTTGTTTAGTTTTCTCTGTAAGATGGCCTTCGTGGTGCTTAGTATCTTTAACTTCATTCAAAACAATTTTGTTAGATTGTGTCTCGACAGCTGTCATATCAGTGTGCATTTAAAAAATTACTGAAATTCGGTGAATTTTTGTGTAGCCATTTTAATATTGAAGATGGAAGAAAATAAGCAACATTTATTTGAGTGTATTATGTTTTTATTATTTCAAGAAAGGCAAAAACACAACTGAAACAAAAAAAGATTTGTGCAGTGTTATAGAGAAGGTGCTGTGACTGATCGAATGTGTCAAAAGTGGTTTGTGAGGTTTTGTGCTGGAGATTTCTCTCTGGCCAATGCTCTATGGTTGGGTAGACCAGTTGAAGTTGATAGTGATCAAATTGAGACATTAATTGAGAACAATCAGCATTATATAATGTGGGAGATATCCAACATACTCAAAACATTCAAATCAATAAAGTTATTGGTGAAAATGAAAAGTGTATCTTATTTTACAGGAAAAAACTAAATGAACTTTTTGGCCAACTCAGTAGATGGTCAAACAGACAGTTGAAAACCAAGGGTAGTTGCAAAAGTGATATGCATGTTTTCATATTTATACTGCTGGACTGATAGGTTGATATTTATTGATAAATCAGTACTCTTGAATTTTTAATTTTTTAAATCCTCACTTGAGGATATGTTTATTGATTTTAGAGAGAGGGGAAAAGGAAGAGAGAAAGAAACATTGATTGGTAACCTCCTGTAGGATTGAACCCAAAACCTAGGTATGTGTCCTGACTGGGGATTGAACCCACAACCTTTTGGTGGATGGGATGATGCTCCAACTAACAGAGCCACTCTGGCCAGGGCTCTTTTGATTACTTTTTAGCAAATATTTATTGAGGTTTTTCTTTGTGCTTGATAATGTTCCACTGAATTGCAGCATGTGACCTGGACCTGTATCTAAATTAATGCCGTTCATTGTCTGTTTCTTCACATCCTTCCTTTCCACCTCATCTTAAACAGCCTTGTGAGCCTTGGCTCATGCCGGTTTTTGAACTCATGCTGTCTACCCTT